GAAAGGACACATAGATGATAGACAAATGTGCTTAAGTTAAGTGTATACTTAAGTCAATACTTAAGTTAAGTGTATACTTAAGTCAATGCTTAATTTATGTGATGTGCTACGAAGACTCGGGACATGCGTTGGTATCATGGAAGTAATGAACAAATTAGAGAGCACTTTTGGAAATATACGTTTATCCCTGCAGAAGACGAATTCCAATATCTGGAATAAAAATGATTTACTTTCGCATTATTTTAGGAAGCAAACCAATCTCAAATTAACCATGAAATCGAAAGTTTGAGAGGCAAGTCTCTAATTTTTAAAATCTACAATAAAAATAACCAGCTTTATCATTTTCAAACGAGGGATCCATTCTGACTCAAGAAAAAAATGAATTTGACAAACAAAACTTAAAAAATCTTATACGATCTTTTTTCTGTTAGTCTTTTTTCATAGAACCTTTTCTTTGCATTGTACCATCTGCTTGATTATCTGAAAACCATTTAACTCATTCATGAGCTAAAATATGAGCCAAGGAACAGCTCTTTACCATGGAAAACCTCATTTATAGTCGACATTTCATACTCTGAATATCCCGCGCAGTTAGCGTCAGAAAATACTATTTTAGAAACTTTATAAGTATGAAATATATTTCTTCTGTTTATCAAATTGACATTGCACTTCCAAAATAATAATTGTCCGTCAGACTCTGGAGAAATAGAAATATGTGAATCCCAGTGACTCACGGTAAGTACATGCGCGCTAGAATATCTCGTCATTATCTGTATCCGTGACCTTACACTACTGACATGGAAATAAATTGACTGACAATACTGGCAACCTATTGTATGGGTTATATGCATCCTTAAAAGTTCAATTATAGTGTCATCTAAGATCAGGAACATAAATAATATCCAAAATGGGATTTAATACAATTCCTTTATATTACATTATCTTAAAAGGGATCCAAATGGACTTCTTTGCGTTAGGTGTAAAACTCGAAAGTAACAATCTTTTTTAATGTCAAACGAAAGCTTTTTTCGTCCTGTTAAAATCAACACTGTACCCAAACCAGTCGTCTAAAACATGGAAACTATTTTTCCTTAACTACGCCACTCTTAACAAGAGGTCTTGCTAACTTTGTAAAAATTTAGCAAGCGCTTGATAATGGAAGTACAATAAATGTTGAATACTTGACAATGTCCTTATCTGGCCATGCAAACCCTAGAAATTCTGTGTGAGGGTGATATATATCAGTGAAATGATATGCTCTCGTTTAAATCAAATTTAAAAAGATGAACATTTCAAAGATATGAAAGTACTACTTAAGCATCCTGAAATTTAATAGATTGTTTCCAGAGATTGTGATTAACAATTCGCAAATCAAAAATACGTCTTTTCTTACCAGATCTTTGCACAAAAACAGTCAATGGAATTACGATATATGGAATAACAGAACATCTTTTAATCAAAGATCTATCTAACAAATCTTGAAAAGTTTCATTTACAAAAACCGATCTCAACAAAGCTGATTTATTGTTTTTGCAAACTGGCGTAGGCTAGTTGAATACAACGGCAATTCATTACTATTTTTGTGGTATCTAAAATAAAATCACTTGAACCTGATAAAACGCCAAATTGTTCCTGTAATCTACCTTTCACAATTATATATTTTTCACCATATTCGTAATGATGACTAGCAATACATATTTATTGAATTTCACATGGATTAATAATAACAAGTACTTTATTTGTAAAACAATAAGTGGCCAATAATATAAATATGTTTGTGTATTACAAAATGTCCGAAACATGCTTTGCATGTTTAAAGACCATGGTCAAAACAATCTTTGAATAAGCCTAGAGTCGTTTTAATCTAGATTTAATTTACAGATTGTAAACTTCAAACCATTAGAAATTACAACTGATATTGATTCTTTTTTCTTTCTCTCTATTTTGTCCACACAGTGTACGTATGTTTTACCAGATCTGAGTATTAAACAACAGAAAAAGTAGAAAATATTTACATTTGATCATCTGTGAAACAAGAGTCCATTTTAAGTTTCAATTATTTAATAAAATAATATAAAAAGGTGCTGAATTTTAATATCATTATTCCATTGTAATGATATCCTTAAATTCCGCCATCTTAAAAAATCCAAAAATTAGATATTATAAAAGTGCATATCATAATATCATTTTTAAGCTGAGAATGGCACAATGATCAGTCTTTTAAACCATCAACAAACAGAACACTGTATCATTCAAATAGACCGCAACTGATGTTCTTACAGAATGAATACTAATGACCTTAACAGGGTAATAGTTTGGTTTATACATATTCAAGCTCAATGTCTCAATGTCTTGCAACAAATTTTAATTACTTTTAGTCCACTTTCTAAAACAAACCAGTACTGGTATCGTATCTATAAACATAATCGTCATCCAGTTAGGGTTAGAACCCATGATCTTAGGATTGGCCTTAACCACTAGGCCACCTAGAAAGGTAAACAGAGACCATACATGTGAAAACTGTCAAACATTTGAATTTTTTTTCAATTGTTATCATGTTAAGTGTAATTAATTTGTAATCAACTACGTTATTTTTCCGATTGTTGTCGCCAGTATTATGATGCACCAACTTTCGTGCTTGATTTAGTAGTTTAGGTATTTTGCTTATTAAGCTTTGGGCAGCCGGCTAAATGTTTTAAGGGTATTTTGATATAAATTTTGAAAATGATATAGTCTTAATTTATAGTCTTTTTAAATATTGTGTTGTCAGGCATGCCTGTATGCTAAAGTGAATAACTGAACATATTGTATTAGTCCAGCCGGGCAAGTGCTCAATACAAATTACAAGTTAGTAAATGATTTCATTTGTTTATCTTCATTTCGGAAATATGTTAGTTGAAAGGGAAAAAGAAATAATTGAAGACAATCAACGAGTGTATTATTTTATGATTTGACCACGTAAATATTCTTCTAATATTCGCTTCGTTTACAACAAAAGATTCAAAACACGTTTTAAAAACATAGTACACGAGGTATAACATCGATGTTTGTTGACTTACATGAAGATCTACATAGTTATGTAAGTAATATTCTTAAGTCATAACAAGAAAGAATGGTGAAAATTAACGTTCGCAATGAGGTAAAATCGAAACAAAAAAGAGTTTATAAGTCACGATTTATTTTATTTAAAGTAATTAAATATATCTGACATGTTTATTATTCACACAACATGTGCATTATTGGCAGAGGACCTTTCATATTTGGCAACGAGTTTCCGTTACATGTCGTTAGTTTCCGTCGGCCGGTCCAAAGGTAAACATCACTTATTTAGAAACACTTTTAAACAATAAAGGCTGTAATTTTGCATTTACTTTGACAAGTTATATCTGTAAAATATCTAATCTATTGTTTGAGAATGAATGACCGGACGTTTCCGCCATAAAAAGATGCTTGAAAAAGGGCACATTTGCATGGCATTGAAAGAGATATGTTAAAAGAATGACAATAAAAAAGCTACAAAATGACCCCAAAGAATCTATTTGAAACACCTTCACTAAAACACTAAATGATCGCATCAAAATGAGTTACTTATTTGATATTTTCAGACAACACTAAGTCCCATTAGATACTGGTACTGGTTCCGCTTGTAGCTAATTGAAGAGTTCTGTCCATTTACTTTCATAAAAAACGATTAAATCAAATCGAGTCAGTAATTGTTATTGGAATAACAATATTCATAATAAATACATCCAAATATCTAACCTGATTTAAGCACCTGTCGATTTGTGGATAAATTGTTAATTATAGTAAAAAATAAGTAAAAGTTGATTGAAAAGCCCATATGCAATTTAATTTTTATTGTAGTTTTTCAAATGCAAGAATGTCTCATAGAACTCAACAAAGTATTATTTGAAAAAGAATATGTACTAAATTATGACAAAAAAAAAGACAATTAAACATGTATGAGACAGAAATACTGGAGCAGAATACAAAACTATAAATCAAAATCATAAACAGGTAGAAATTCCACACCGAGTTGATCTTTTACTATTAGAAACGCAAGTGGTATCACTGTTAATAAATCCGGTTATGAGGAAGAAAGAGAATCTTCCACTTTCTCAAACAATGTTGGTTTAAAGACATATATGAATATGTTAATAGCACATGAAATATTTTTGCCTAGAGAAAAGTGTTATCCATATTCAAAATAAATATAAACAATCTTACTAAATGTTTTAAATGAATTTATTACTTATCTATTATATCAACTAATAAGTACATGTTTAAGTTTGTAGTTTGTCTTTTGGCGACGTTCCAGCTTTACTGGTGGAGGAAGACCTCAGGTGTCCTTCCGTGCATTATTTCAGGCACGAACGGGCACCTGAGTAGAACCATCGACGTTCCGTAAGCTAGCTGGATAGCTTACTCACATGAAAGAATCCAAAGTTCTTGTCGGGATTCGAACCCACAGCGGTGAGGGGCAAGTGGTTTGAAGTCAACGAACTTAAACACTCGGCCACGGACACACCTTAATTTTGTAGATACATCAAGGTGCATGTGACAGAAATATTCACTTCTCTTGTAAAGAAAGACCTGTAAACTGTAAACAAAACATATGTAGATTCACTTCTTACAACAATGCAATGAACATTCGGCTTTTAAAATGCTGCTGACCATCTTAGTAATTGAAAGTTGGAAATAGAATACAGTTTTCTAGGATTCATCATTTAAATGACTTTTAAAATCAAGAACTGTTATTTTAATTGGTATGTGTATATGTTCGTGCCATATCATTTGTGTACAGTATACACAATGAAAATGACATTTAAGATTAAACACAATAAAATGAAATTATAAAAGCACAATATAATTTTTGCACGCACGATATTTTCATTGTATTTTTGAAGTCCCAATAGTTTTGTTCTGAGCAGTGGCAACTTATAATGCTTGTCTTACTTGTCTTGTAAAATAAACAATTATTGTACTAACACTTAAATATATTATATTAAATTGAGGGTTTTTTTATTCAACGTGTTATCAACACTGTAACTGTCAAAAGGCGATGTACAGATTTATTTATGTAGAAAGGCAAACCACCTCAACAACTCGGCCACAGACACCCCTCCTTTCTGCATGGTTAAGTGAATTTGAATACTTCTAAATTTACTTAAAACATAAGCTAGACAGCACTTTGTATCAGGATAAATCATTTAGAAATCCCACAACATTCAATGTGAAACAAAAATGTGAGAGCTACTTTGCAACTTTGACATAATTCAGCGCTGCACATGAGTACTGGAAAGCACCCTTATGAGCTAAATAGACATTTTCATATTCATATAAGCTAGCTTCCATATGTTAAGTTTAATTCCTCACACAGCGTCCTTTATATAGTATATAGGTTATTAAAAATAATATTCAAATTTTACAGTGGTCCAAACTTCCTCATGTGCTCGAGTCTTCATAGGGTGGAATTGCAGCGGAACAATTATCATTTTCAATTTTAACTTTTGTCCTGATATATTTCGATGAAAGCATCTGTCTTTGATTTTTACAAAGTAAAACATGTTTGAAAGAATCTCGAAGTTTTTTATTTGAAAGGCCATAGATTATCCAATTCATCGACGAATTCATGAGACCGGGAATAATGGTATATGATCGTGCATCTGCATACTTGTCTTTATCTTTTGATGCCGCCATTGCTATAACTGTCACAACATATGGTGTCCAACACAACGCAAAAACGATATACACCCGTATCAGCAGGCCACATTTTACCATAGCTTTCTGATACTTTTGGTTTGACATGGTATTTGATTTAAGTCTCTGTTTAACAATTAAGCACATAACAATATTCATGATAAATTGTAGAGTCATAAAAACTGCTGTAATAAGCGACACCTCTTTTGGTGTCGTCTCACATTGATCACATGTACTAATTTCTGATCGTTTCAGATTAGAGAGTCTCATAGTGAAGATAAAGGTCACCGATATAACCCATACAAGCACAAGTTTTATTCGTCTACATTTCACTTTCGTTGAATGAATTAAATGTTTCATTGGGAACACAATTGCACAGAATCTGTCCAAAGATATAAACATTAACAATAACCCAGAGGCTGCAATGGATGCTCCAATAAAACACGTGTTTATTGCACAGACCAATATCTCACCATCAAATGGTTGAAATATAATTCTGATAATTTGAAAGGTAAGTCCAATAGCTAGAAGTAAATCTGCTACAGCTAAATTCCCTAATAGGATGTAAGGTGTTCCTTTCAAAAAGTCTGAAAATTTTCTTAAGCTAACGAGAATTAGAATATTTCCAAAATATGATGCCAGCGACACAGATGTATACACAATCATACGAGTAATTCTTAAAGTTTCTTCTCCATTATCATTGCAATCATCTTGCTGTAATGTTGCGTCTGTTGAGTTATTCATATTTGAGGTATATTATTAAGAACTATGTCATACCCCTCTATCCGTAACGCTCAATTACAAATTATTAAATGAAGACTAATGTTGACTGACGCAATAACGAAAAATATTGATGTCAGTAAAAAGGTTCCATTAATGTAATCCTTCAGAGGTTTATACATTCATTAGCTAAAAATAAAAAATACCTTAAAAGATAAAGTGATGTCAATTGTTTATCTAAAAGCCGTGTCAAACAAGTATCGAAAATCTATAAATCTAATGTTAAAATTGTTTGAACAGTGACCAGATAATGATGAAATACACGCAAGGACTTACATTTTATTATGCAGATCATCCAGCTATCAATGGTTACAAAATATTTCATTCTAGCGAGGATCAATGCACTTGAGGTCTTTTGTATTATATGTTATTTCATAATTGAAAATTGAAAAAACATTATTAGGGAAACTCAAACATTATCATACATATCGTATAATAGTTTCAGCGCTGCCATGGAAACTGTAAATATTTTTAAGTGATGCCCTCATTAGCATGAATGTGTAAAATTACCTGAACAAATATGCAATTAAGTTATTCTTATCAATCAGCAATTAAATCTATTATCTAAAATTTAAACAGGCAAGTGCATATGATGTATTGCAGATATAGTTTACTTTACAGTTCGCCGAAGTTTTCTGCCAATGAAATCGCTCTATTTTTGTTTAAATTATGCCGAAATATTAACCTTACAGTGCATGTATTAAATTTATACGTTAAATGAGCTAATTTAATGGACTCCGCCTATTAACATAATGAACTGGGCTAAGTCGGTGATAGGTAATATACAGAGTTTTTATAACCTATAACCTTTACATACAGTACAGATACAGATGTTAAATAATCACAATTTACGTTTTGTCATTTAGCCACCTTTTATTTGTTAGATTTATAATTTGAATTCAAATATTAATAAGTGAAGTTCATCCTAGTGTTAAGAATACAATGCCTGTGTGCAAGTAACTGGAAAAAAATATTTTTAAACTATTTCTAATTGAAAACTATTTTAAATTGTACACGCTTGTATGAACATTATTAGGGTCAGTAATTCTTTTTATGCCACCGCAGCATCTGCGATGCGGTGGCATATAGCGATTCACCTGTGTGTTTGTGTGTGTGTGTTTGTGTGTGTGTTATATAGATTATATAGTGAACTTAAAAAATCTTCTTGTGAAAAACCACTTGTCCAATTTCAACCAAACTTGGCAGGATTGTTCCTTGGGTGAAAGGCTTCCAAAGTTGTTCAAAGAATTTCATTCCATGCAGAAATCTGGTTGCCATGGCAACCAATAGGAATTATAAGAATAAATTAAAAAAATCTTCTTGTAAAGACCCAAAAGGCCTAGAGCTTAGATATTTTGCATAAGGCATTGTCTGGTAGACCTCTAACAAGATTGTTCAAATTATAGCCCTGGGGTCAAAATTGGCACCGCCCCGGGGGTCATTGAATATCACTATGTACATATAGTAAAAACTTAAAATACTTTCTCGTAAAAACCCAAAAGGCATAGAGCTTAGATATTTTACATAAGGCATCATCTGGTAGACCCTTACCAAGATTGTTCAAATTATAGCCCTTGGGTCAAAATCGGCCCCGCCCCGGGGTCATTGATTTTCGCTATATGTACATATAGTAAAAACTTAAAACACCTTCTTGTAAAGACCCAAAAGGCCTAGAGCTTAGATATTTTGCATAAGGCATTGTCTGGTAGACCTCTACCCAGATTGTTGAAATTATAGCCCTGGGGTCAAAAATCGGCCCGCCCAGGGGTCATTGGTTTCCCTTATATGTATATAGTAAAGACTTAAAAAAATTCTTCTAGCAATTGACAAATGCTAGAGGTTAGATATTTTGCATGAAACATTTTGTTGTAAAACTCTAGCAAGATTGTTCAAATTATAGCCATGGGGTCAAAATTGCCCCCGCCCTGGGGGTCATTGATTTCAATATATACATATTGTAAAAAATCAAAAAAATCTTATTGTCTGAAGGTACAAGGCTTAGAGCTTTAATATTTGTTAAATAATATCATCTTAAGGTACTCTACCAAAGTTGTTCAAATTTTGCCTCTTGTGTCAAAATTAGCCCCGCCCCTGGGAGCCATAGGTTTATCTTATATGTATATAGTTAAAACTTAAAAAGTCATCTTCTCTAAATTTACAAAGGATAGAGTTAAAATATTTTGCATGAAACATTGTGTAGTGAGCCTCTAGCAAAATTGTTCAAATTATAGCCCTGGGGTAAAAATTGGTTCCGTCCCGGGGGTCATTGATTTTCATTTTGTACATATAGTGAAAAAAAAAATTTTTGTCTGAAGGTTCAAGGCATAGAGTTTTGATGTTTGATATATAATATCATCTATAGGTCCTCTACCAAAGTTGTTCAAATGTCAAAAATTGGCCCTGCCCGGGGGCAGTGATTCTCATTATGTACACGTAGTAAAAACAGAAAATAAAACAAATGTTTTCTGAATGGGAGAAAGCTATAGCTTAGATATTTGACTTGAAATGTTGTTTGGTGGACCTGTATCAAGATTGTTATTAAACCCTTGGGTCAAAATTATGCCTTGCCCAAGGGGACAGTGACCTACTTTCTTATCCTTTGATGTACAGCAATGACATTTTGACCATGTGCACAGTTTTAGTTGTAAAATTGAACTTTGACCTAGATTTTGATGATGTGACCTTCTTTCTTGTCCTTTGATGTACAGCTATGAAATTTGAACCATGCGGTGGCATAGCATTTTTCTCAAATGCAATCTTGTTAAACATTATAATTATATTAAAAGCACACTATGCTTCAGAAACAAATAAAAGTTTCCTTTCTTAAGAAAGGGCAAATGTAAGTTTTATAACTTTTAAATCATGTTAAATGCCTATCGTCTGTATAAAATTGCGCTGAATATGAAATAATTGTTCATTGAAAAAAATGCTAAACTTATTCTAACTGTACTAAATTTCGAAAAGGGACAAAAGTAAAAGATTGCTCAAATACATGGCTGGCCAATGAGAACATTTTTTTTAAATAATTACAAGACAACTAATATTAAAAGATTTTGGGAAATTAAAACATCATTTCTGGTGATTGATGGACCTTAAAGATGGAGCTAATGGATCATGTTAACTATATTCGTTCGAATATATAAAACTGGATCCTATACAATAAGACTGTAAACGAAAGCCTCATGTTCAGTTTTGTAAAAATTGCTTTAATATGAAATATTCTAAATACATTAAATATAAAACGTTGTAAAATGATAAACACAATAAAAGTGTAAATTTAAAAATTATGTCAAAACCTTCCATAACCGACAACCTCTCAGAATCGATATACTCCAATAGTCCACACGACTTTAACAAGATTTAAAGTATTTGGCTGACAATACTATGCTATTGCAATTCGCTTGTGTTTGATTTGAAAACTTTAATTATGGCTGAGGAATTCTTTGAGAAAGAAGACTCAATGGGCTCTCAATAAATTCGCGAAAAAGCATTGAAATGTTTATGCAAAAAATTGCAGAAATGATCATATGTAATAATCAACTAACTCATTGACTTTTAGCTAAAACCTGTCTTACAACTATTGTTTTTAACTAATTGCAGTCTCGCAAGCTATCTCTTAATCATTTTTGAATTACAAATTAATATTTTGCCAAGCGTTTTTTTTAAATCATATTAAAGATAATTATCAGATTGTACAATACATGTTTGGACATCTAAAATGAACGGGTTTACATATATCAGAGCTCAAATAATAAACCGGGGTAATTATAGATTCAAGGCAACTGGGGAAAACAACATTTGTAGATACTTTCAAAGTCAAACGAGTAATTGTTATGTAAATCAGGTATGTACACATTGTATTTTTTCCAATTAGGAGGATTTTACAAAAGGGCAAAATTGTACGGATGAAGAGAAAACATCTATTTACCGTATTTTCCGGACAATAGGCCGCTGCATAGTTAAGGTCACAAACTCAGAAGTATCTTTAAAAAAGACACCTCTCCGATGCTTAACTTGTTAACTGGCATATGTTATCTCTAGGTTTTCGATACATATGGAAATTTTAACAATGCTTGCAAAACAATAACATAAAAGGAATGTAACTAAGAAAAACTTCATGTATTCATATTGTAAACATAGAAATTAAATCAAATGTCTCTTCTAAAGTCGGACAACTTCTATTTTACAGTATTCATTTACTCGGGTTTACGATTGACTTTATAAATTTTGTAATTAAATGCAAATGTGTGGTTCATATCCCAACCCACCACATCAATTGTGTAAAAATTTGGGGGTCAGAAGCAAAATCTAAACTCCAAATACAAACAGAACAGTTTATTTTACACTCTGGTACATTAACCTGCAACTGTTTGTATTTGGGTCTATTTACTCAGCTTGAATGACGAATGTCATAAGATAGAAGGACGCATAATCGAAAGCCGAATGCAGCAAGCATAGCACGACGCGACATCTGGTATAATAATATGTGACACCCAAATTATGCTAACAGGTGGCGCTACAGTTATATTCTCGATAAAGTCCGTATTGCGATTCGGATTCAGTTTACCAAGTTTCGTCCCGTTGTTTTAAAATTTCCATTTCCAGTATGGAGGAAATAAAGTAAACATATATACAAAATTAATTAACCATTTTTTGTATTTATTACTGAAACTGTGTGGGTCAAATTATATTTCCAGCTGACAATGACAAGTTGCACATTTCCAAATCAATGATTTTAGAATTATTTCTTTAAAAACAAAATAATTATCAAATAGAACAGTTGTTCAAATTGCTTTGGTATGGAAGGTGATCGATATTTCGGATACTCGTATATTTTCGGTAATTTCCGTATGGTTCCGTACATGTTTCCGAACTTGCGCCCTCTGTCGTAAAAAAGAGTGTACAACCTGCCTTGTTGTATTGCACACAGTGTGTGCTTCAATGTATTATTTATACATGTATAATCGATAAATATAGGTTTCCTTTCTTGTACACATTAAATGTAGACAGTTTACGATCATTATAATTAAACTGAACTGATTTTAGCATCAAACATATAACTTTAACGTAGACAAATTTAAAGATAGTCAAATAACGAACGATTTATGCAATTTAAAGCAAAATGTGCAAGTCATAATGCAAGATGTGCAAGCCAGAATGCATTTTGTGCATGACATAATGCAAAATGTAATGGCAAGAATTCAAGATGTACAAGTCAGAAATCACACTGTAATGTAAGAAGGCAAGATGTAATTCTTGTGTTAATACCCTTCCATATTTTGATACTTCTTCTAATGCCTTTGTAAAAACCGGTTTGATTGCATGGCTAAAAATAGCTTTCTCGGGAAATCCGAATTATAAAGAAGGCGAAACAAATGCGGTCGTCATCAGATCTACGTAAAAGAAATAAATAGATCTGAACTACTTTAATCAGATCGGATGTATGTGTTTTTTGTAGAACCTGTCGTGTTTCTGTATCAATGTCTTACACAAACATCTAAGCAATCGGTATGTCCATTATATGGCTTAAACACATCAATGATCATATAATACATTGTACACTTATTGAACATAATCATTAACAAGTAAGGAATTTTGGTGTTCTCTATATTTTTTTGCGCATGAGTAAAATATACGCGACCGAAAACATTTTTTATGAACAAAATTATAACTCAGTATCTTATTTTACACCTGACTTATAATCGTGAAGTTACGTTTGATTAAAGTATTGATGGCTTGATAGTCTGCATGTTATATTTGTCAACGAGATATATCAATTTAAGGAACGAGCTATTAATTGATTGTTTTTCTGGAGTAATGGATACAAATAATTCCATCTGTTGTTATTTATTTGTTTTGCAATTATAAAATGATATGTTAAAAATGTTTTGTTGAGTGTATAGTTGTATAATGCTAGATTGTAGAACGCTTCACATTATATCAAACAGATAGGACAGTCAAATACATAACTAAAGGTAAAGCTTATGTCATATGACGTTAAGAATGGCGCAAAGTCAGAAAATCACTTATACGCTCATGTAGTTCACCGTATCTTTATCACTCAGGCATATCGGCCTTCGTGATAGCATTCAAACTGGAAACCGTGCATTGTTCTAAAACAAGACACATAAAATACAAACGTTTAGGGCAAAAGCATTCTTTTACTTGGGGACCTTACGCCGCTTTTCATGGAATGGCACTACTGTGTCACATTGAAGGTTCCATGATAACCGCCGTATGAACACATCTGCGAATGTTTCTAAATTCAAAATTTCACCATTTTCGTGTTAAATGTTGAATTCTGCTTAAGCCGGTGCTAGGGGCGTGGACGGTAACTTGCACTTTCCAGTACCGTCCATGAACAGGCTCAATCAAACCGAGCCTGCAACATTTTCAATTTTGTTGTGTTGGACTTTCTTTAGGGATTCTGTTTTTCTCTATTTTATATTTATTTCCTTAATTTGATGCAGTGACTATTATACTTGTCATGTATTAAGTTCATACAAATACACATTTGAGCCGTGCCATGACAAAACCATTATAATGGGTTTCCGACCAGCATGGATCCAGACCAGCCTGCGCATCCGCGCAGTCTGATCAGGATCCATGCTGTTCGCTATCAGTTTCTTTACTTGTTATAGCGTTTGTAATCGAACAGCATGGATCCTGATCAGACTGCGCGGATGCGCAGGCTGGTCTGGATCCATGCTGGTCGCAAACACATTACATTGTATGTTGGTTTTGTCGTGACGCGGCTCATTTAGTGAAAATGAAATTGCTTCCGTTTTAAATGTGGATGTACTAGAACAATACAAAATGAAGAACGAGTCATCGGATAATCATCATCCTTAAATATTTACAGCTTCATATTTTGTTCTTAATAATCAATGGTTTATTTCCTTTTTTCTAGGCATCTGAGATACTTAACTACAGTATTTTCAGTTTTCAGATGTTAATACTTCATAATTATTTACCTGAACTTTTTGTTAAAGAAATATTCCCTCGGAATAATTTAAATGCCGCTTTATGTATGACAAATATTATTTGGTAATTGTTACGACTTGGGAGACTGGAAATACGCTGTGAGTTTGTAACATCTTAGTGTATTGATTCACAAAATATAGGCCAGGCATGAATTTATAATTTATTAAACAAAACAGAAATTTACTTTCTTTATATACTGACACTTTGAACAATTTTGATTAGCTATTATCAAGAATCAGATACATACATATATTTGTACTAATGATAGGTTGGTCATAGAATATATTCTTAAATGAAGCTTTTGATTAGATCGTCAAATTTCTCTGCTCTCGGAATTGTAATTTATTCCAGTATTAGGGCCTGATTTAGTTATGATATGTTTTGTAGTTGCGTCGATTGATATACTTGTACTTATACTAGATGTCGTGTTTTAAGTTTTTTGTAGAATTAAGTTCGTCCTCAAAATCTATTAATCTTTGGAATTTAAAGAGTACTGTAATGCATCATGATACACTGAAATACATATTAACGAGTATTGTGACGTGCCAAATGAAAAAGACTAGATGAGATTCTTAACAGTTTCTTCCGATGTTAAAATGAAAAATGTCTCTCCAAATGAACATTCTCCGCATGTGACTATTACTCTATGAATATTGACTTTTGTAGATCTTTTATAATGAATGCCAATTTTTTTCCAGTAGATAATAACAATATATTTTTGAAAATTTCACAGTAAGATAATTTCATAAAAACTATATTTGAATGCAAATGAAAAGAATATTTTAAAATTGAACTTAAATTTCGTAAGTAAAATGTGCGAGATTCCAAATAAATGTTTGAGGTTATCACGTATAAAATGTATCAATTTTTTTAACATGAAAACTTATAATTTGATGACAAAATCTTTCGCATGACTTCAAAAATAATGCATTTTCCAAAGTTGTATTTTTGTATATCATATACCATTTTCCAATGGGTATAACATAATTTCGTCTACACTATAAGTTAGGTTTCACTAAGAATGAATTTTAACGCAACGTATAAGTTACAGGAACGACGGCCCAGAGAGTTTATTACATATAACACTTCAAAACGAAAACAGTAATAGACAACAAGTCTAAATTCAACAAATTTATTACATATTTTACTCGCTATAACCCCTCAAAATAAAAACAATAATAGACAACAAGTGTAATATTACCAAAAAAAATACATATTTTACTCACTATATAGCTATAACCCTCAAAAACGAAAACAATTATTGATTCAAGATTCAAGATTCTTTATTAAGTAACGTAAACAAGTTATGTTTCTTGTTACATAATACAATTTACATATATACATATTTCACATGACAAATACAAAAAACAGACATAAATGATTTTAACTCACTGAAAACAAGTAAGCATGATGAGCATATACAAGAGGATGAACTATGTACAATTACAACAATACATGAGCGCATGAACATATGATAATTATTTAACACAGTCATTTTTACAATACATTTACACCACAGTATCAGATATTTATTGTACAATACCAAATAACGTAGAAATTATTATATGAAATTGATACACATGTAAATGATTACAGAAAGTAGCCTTAATTACTTCTAAGTATAGTTGTTTACAATGTTTTGTCTTATTATAAATGCTTCTCGTATAAATTTACATAGTTTAATTACTACAGAATAGTTTACAGATTGCATAAGTTCTATAAATTTAACAACACTTGGTCTGTAGAAATAAAATTTGTTAATATAACGTTTTCGAATCTGATTATATGCTGAACAGATACAAATAAAATGATATTCATCTTCTAGGTCACCACTGTTACAAATCGTACAATGTCTTTGGTTACGTTCAGTTCTATTATTACCATAGCGACCTGTTTCGATTCGTAGTTGGTGAGAAGATAGCCTTAACTTAGTCAATGGAATACGAAGTTTAAGCGGAATGTTATCTAAATAATATTCAAATTTAAAAGAGTTTTTAAATAATTTATAAGTACATAAACTTGGACTAACAGACAATGTGGCAGTCCATGCCTGAACAAATTGGTCCGTTAGTCTTTGTTTGAATAACAAAGAAAACATTTTAATATTAATAATATCAGGATTGTTCCATACATATAAAAATCCATTATTTTCTAACAAAAATTTTACTTTAGATACCCAATTTACCTTGACAACAAGTCTAATATTAACGAAATACTCGTAATTACATATTTCACTCGTTATAACCCCTCAAGACGAAAAACTATTTCACTCGCTTTAACCTCTCAAAACAATTATAGAAAATAAGTCTTATATTTACAAATAATTACATATTTTACTCACTGTTTTCTGTCATAATTTAAAACTTATAAAAAACTGACTTGGTTTCTCTGTTAGTACAAGGCAATACTTATACAGTTAGAGATATCCAAATTAAATAAACATTATTAAAACGGAAAAATTAATACATTGGAAAACATTCAGTAAAAAGACGAAGAATATTGAAAATATTTTCAGATTTTTTTGTGTGATATTACATTTAACCTAGGAAAATACATGCCATTTGCCACGAATTCTTGTAATTTCTTCACTTATAATCTAAACATAGTGTTGTCGTTATTCTTAACAGATGTGCATGAAAGTACATTTTTAAAGCTCTTTCTAAATTTTCTGTTAGCCAAACTGTATAAGATCCAGTTCATTCCTGAATTCATGAATCCAACAAGAACGGCAAATTCCCGAAAACAAAAGTAGTCATTAATACCTTCTTTATTCATTTCCATAAGGACAGTTGTGACAACATAAGGGCTCCAGCATACAGCAAATAAAATATATATCTGTAGAGTCAGAAGACATTTTATCATGCTTTTTCTGTAGTTATTTCTTGCCGCATTATTCGTCAAAACTCTCCACATTACTATCAGACATAAACACACATTGAAACCAAATTCTATAGGAAGGAAAATAGCAGCAAACATCGATGCCTTATATGGTATCATATATCCATATTTACAAGAAAATCCACGCGGAGAATCATCTGAAATATTAACAGCTGACACGATAATTGGTATAACCCCGATAAGTAACGAAACAAGCCAGGTTACAGCAAGTATACATCTCTTACTTTTCTTTTTGTGTGCATTCAAAAAATGTCTCATCGGGAACATAATAGCACAAAATCTGTCGATGGACATATACGAGAGCATATCACTAGAACATGTGATAGACACGGCGATGCAACATGTCTTGATCACACAGAAATACTTGTCACTTTCTAAATTAGGAAATACATATTCTGCCAACTGAAATGTTAATCCAAAAGCAAGGAGAAGGTCCGCGACAGCCAAATTCGAAATGATCATGTATAAAGTTCCTTTGAAATTGGATGAATATTTTTGAAGTGTATAAAGAATCAGTGAATTTCCAAAATATGTCGTCAAAGTCACTATGGCAAGTGCTGTTATCTTCAAATACCGTTGCTTGGAATTTAAAGAACAAAAGTGTTGTTCTGATAACACATTCCGTGAAGATTCAGTCGTATTATTCATCTTTAACTTTTAAGGATCACTTTCACACAAAATAAGAGTTTCTCAATAATAATATTTATAAAAATGTTATGACTGAAATAGTCCTAACGGCAAATATGATTTGATGTGAAAACTTACATGGATTTGTATATACAGAAATGCAATATATAAATATAAGAAGTCAACAATTAACAATTGTTTTTGTTCATTTATCGCGTGTTTGTAATTTAGCATTTATCATTTGTTTAAAGGTTACATGTTATCAGTTGATCTGATGTTTCCTGACAGTAGTCAATATTTGAGCCGTGTCACGACAAAACCAACATGATGGATTTGCGACCAGCATGGATCCAGACCATCCGCGTAGTCTGATCAGGATCCATTTTGTTCGCTTACAAACCCTATAACAAGTAGAGAAACTGATAGCGAACAGCATGGATCCTGATCAGACTGCGCGGATGGTCTGGATCCATGCTGGTCGCAAATCCATTATGTTGGTTTTGTCGTGACACGGCTCATTTTACTTTAAAAGCTCTCAACGTCATCATTATAATGATCAATACTCTCATTAGACGCTTGTTTACAATGCTCTGAAAAGTGGGATGGGATTTGTTTGTGAAACTGGAGTGAAGCTTCATGCAAGTAAATAACGTCGTCGTGATAGATATCAATAACAAACTTCTAAAATTTACTTTTAATTAATCACGAAACAGAGATAAATTTATGTGAACAGATTATTTAGTATATTGCTAGGGAAATACGAATGTGTTTGACAATTGTCATCATGCGATACTGATAGAGTTATTTTGAAATTTCCAATATAATCTAGAAGCAATACTTACATACAATATAGGACATATTGTAGTAATTCGACTAACAATACATACAATTTAATTAATCACATGTGTTTATATTTTACAGAATTGATCTACAATTTACAGATGATAAGATATGTTTTGCATTGATTTAAACACGTTTTCGTTTTTAGTTTCAGTCGATGCTTATTTTTTATTGCAGCATACTCGTATCAGGAGAATAATGCTGAATGCACCTAAGGTCGCTGACTTTTAACCACTTGCCTTTCACCGTTGTAGGTTCGAACCGCGCTAGTGTCTGTCAAAATCTTTCATGTGAGAAAAGTATCATGCTATCTTACAGAATGTAGGTAGTTCTACTCAGGTGCCCGTTTACATAATGCAACTTTCATACTGTACTAAAATTCGTCTTAAATATACGATTCATACTAGTATTTGCAATATATATTCTGTTTAACATTTACATTAATTTTAATGTTATTCGTATCAAATTGTACTCAAAGGATTACAAATAACAACCATTATACTGCGCTCCTCTTGTTCAAGGTACTTCACTCTTTGAAACAAGCAGGAAAACAAGCATTGAACTTCCGGTACAAGAAATTCTAATAAGCTGTAACAATATGCTATTTTCTGTTGTATGACACAAGGAAACAACAACATATTCAATCTGAGTCAGATTTAGTAGGCAAGACGTAGATCATACGTCGGTAATTTTGCAAACAGTATGCCATCATTTCAATCGCGACAAATGGTGTTGCACTCAAGTTATTTCATGTTTCAGTAAAAAAATATTAAATAAAACAGTTATATTCTTCAATTTTAAATGTTAAAACTATAGTTTCTTTGTAACTATATTTTTATCAAGAAACAAGAACATTTAGAAAATGATGATTGTTTAAGGTATTCTTACATTCTAACGGACTAATGTGACTTTTTGCAGAAATGAGCAAAATGTTTCACATTATAATCTACGTGTTTTAAATATTTTACACAGAAACTTTGTTGTTCATGTGCATGACTAAATATTTCAATTTTGACCAATTCTAACTCCGTTCACATGGAAATACGCCATTACCGTGAAATATGTTATGACGAGTATATAGTTCGGGTATCACATACTTTTGATTTAATAAATCTATATCCTTATGGATTCTTCTTTGTTTTTAGCTTTCTAGTATGTGGCTCAGTATTGTTGAAGTTCAAAATATTTGGGTTGTTGCATCTATTTGTTGAATTGTTGTTATAGGGCAGCTTAATTATATGTATCTACTTCCAAATATAACGTAGTATTATATTTTACACGTTTGATTGTTTTTATGGACAAGTCACAGAAAAATTAGTCACATTAATCATTTGAAGCAGCCGTGAAAAATGTAACACATGAGACATACAGTATAGTCGTCTAATAAATCGTCAATGAAAACATGACATTTGTCACAAACTAACGAAACATAGGCCTGCATTTTTAACTCTCCCATTGTTCCTCAGACAGGCTCAAATAAGTATAAAAACATAAATTATGTATATATATGATATATTTTGTTTTATTAACATTGATACATTTCAACATAATCAATTTCCATAGCAACATCATCCCCGTGCCAAGTTGGTAGCCAATTCCCTCTACCATTCCAGAAATCTTGTGGTTCAGTAGGTGAATTGTTGTTCCAAGGTTTAGCAGTATCATAATGCCAGCCGTCAGGGAAAAATCCATTTGTTCCAGCAATTGCAACGTTTAGAATCAAATAAAACTACAAAAAAACACGAAATTTTAATGTCTCTTTGAAACGAAGATCCATTCGAACTATGACTATCAACAGTAAGGAAAGACAGTCATCAGTAAAAGTAATTTTTTCTTTTTCAAATCTTTAAAATAAAATATAGAATCAAAATATTTAATATGACAAAGCATTATGCTGTCAGGAATGTACTCAAAATTTGAAGAGCTAATTTAAAGCAGTGGGAAACGAACCACATGTATTTGAATGAGCATTTTCAATACATATTAATTCATCAAGAAAAGAGACAGGAATAATTAATGTGCCACTTAGGTTAATAGGTACTGGAAACCGTAATGTCAGTTGTTTAAGATTTACCGGTCTATTAGACTTATCTTATGATTCTTTCTGCGAATAAATGAGAATAAATGACTTCATTAGATGAGTAAAAATTTGTATTAAAATAAGTGCATTTCATATATATTTCCTTTGTTCAACTCATCTATGTCATTTGAATATGTAAGACATGTATTTATTCATATTTTAGCGTTAAATTGACAAGATAATGATCTCATTAACTAACCGATGACTGATCTAGATCTGACAGTTTTCTGTAAGACATGATAAAGACAGAAAATGCTAAAACTTTATTTTGTTATAATATGGATGTCATGGACAAAACTTAGCAAAGAAAAAATGACAAACCTGTTGATCAAATGGTGCCGCGTTTATACCACTGCCCCATATATTACCACCACTAAAATGACCTTTTTGCCAGAAACTTTGATGTATAGGAACATGCATCATTGGGCGACCGTCAACAGATACACTACCAATAAAATATACGCTAATTAATGTCCATTCATAAATAAATGCTTAAATTGTTTAACGGTTAAAAGTTATTACAAAAATTATGGGTTATTTTATCAAATATGTATCAAATATCAGCAACAAATGTCCTTTATATGTTAGGTTATCTTCGCAAGTATTTGTTTGTCTTGTTGGTCTTACTGCGGTTTAACTGAGATAAAATCTACATAAATTGTTTACGAATAACAAAAATATTTTTTTCATGATTGTCATTAATATTATAACATTAATATAAAGTACAAAATCACAGTTTTCAAAAATAAGAAAGAAGAATATATACCGGATATCAGTAGGCGTCCAGTCAAGACGGTACAGATGTAAGCTATGGCTCCAATCACCCTGTCTATTAAACAAACAAAAGTAAAGAACAACAAAAAATAAACAAACTTTTCATACAAAAAATTCTATCTAATAAATATAATACACCCTGTGTATCTAATACAATGCAAATTAAGTAAAACATTAGCAAAAAAGTCTGTTTTTAAAACTCTCCTGAAAGCACTTACCATATTTTTTTATTTCATTTAAAACTGCATTAGCGTTGAACTCGATTAAATATCATATAAAATAGTATTATGTGTAGAATTATGTACTTGTAATTCATTTATGTTATCACTATAGCAAGTCTATACTTCCCATGATTCTCTGTAACATGTATTCCCGCCTAAATGTATGCAGCTACAGCGCACTTGGAATTAGTAAATTAAACAGTCAAGACACACTTTGTGTTAGTTGTTTATACAATGACTTAGATGTCATTATAATATTATAGACTATTGTCTATACAAAGTACCAAATATTACATGGTGTCAGAAGTAATTTGGACATAAACAATACTATGTTTTAATATATATTGGATTAAATACTGTTCAATATTTGTTATGATGGATAATTAATTATGGACTAATTAATTAACTTAAAAAAATGGAAGGAATTGTACCGCCATCTATGAGATGGGACGACACCAATTTACCAGAGGCATTTGAAAAATTTGTACGACATGCAAATTTAGTATTTAGTGGACCTCTAGCAGACAAACCAGAAAAGGAAAAAGTGTCATACCTACTTTTGTGGCTTGGTGATAAAGGCCGTGACATACGTCATTCTTGGACAGACATAACGGAGGAAAACGCAAAGAAGCTAGATACATTCTATGAAAAATTTAGAAACTATCTGAGACCAACTCTAAATCCAATTTTTGCCAGATACCAGTTCTTCAACGAAATCCAAAAAGACGAATCAATAGACTCATTTGTAACAAGATTAAGACTTAAAGCTAAAGATTGTGATTTTCCAAATTTAAATGAGATGTTACGTGACAGGATTGTATTTGGGACAAATTCGAACAAAATTAGAGAGAAATTAATAAATCAAGGAAAGGACTTAACCTTAGGAAAAGCTATTCAAATCTGTCAAAATTATGAATACTCCAGGGAGCAAATGAAATAAATGAGCCGCGATGACGTACATGCTGTAACAAACAGACGTGAGTACAGACACCGTGCACCAGCCGCACGTGCAGGAGTTGGTAAAAGTAGACAGAAACAGTCGAGAAATGGAAAACCCAAGAAGTCGGCAGTCAGTGGTAAAAAATGTGACAAATGTGGTTATGAACATAATGACAGAGAGTGCCCATCAAAAGGAAAAAAATGTGACAAATGTGGAAAATTAAATCATTTCAAGAGTGTATGCCGTCCAAAAACAGTGCATGACATTGAGGCAAATACGGATTATGATAGTTCCGAAAATTCTGATGTTGATTTCTATGTAAATACGTAAATAATTCTTTATCTCAAAAAGATCAAGCATTTGCCACTTTAAGCATAGGTCCAAATTGTACCAACATCTTATTTAAAATTGACACAGGAAGTAAGTTTAATATCTTGTCAGAATCAAAATTCAAACACCTGGGTATTAAGTACCCCTTAGAACCCTCAAGTGCAAAGCTTTCGTCATATACTGGCAACCGCCTTAAGGTCAAAGGTACAATAAGGTTAAAAGTAACCTGTAAACAAGTCACTATGCCTATTACATTTTATGTTGTAGAAACTACATCCCACTCCTGTTATCCCTCCAGGCATCCACTGACCTAAATTTAATCAAGATTGTTTACTCATTAGATAGCCAGGAAATATCTCCTGAGACTGGCTACAAGCCCTCTATTCTCAATGAATTTAAACCTGTATTTGATGGTATTGGTTTAATGTCAGGTGAAGTTAAATTACATTTGAAGCCCGACTCTATACCAGTCGTAAACCCACCACGACGGGTTCCTGTCGCATTAAAAGAGAAATTACGAGAGGAACTTGATCGGATGGAAAAGCTGGAAATAATTGACAAGGTCAAAAATCCAACTGAATGGGTTAACAATCTAGTGATTGTAGAGAAACCCAAAACTAAAATCTTAGGGTATGTCTAGATCTCAAGGCACTAAATGAAGCCCTGTTCAGACCTCATTACCCTATGAGAACTTTCGAAGAAGTTACTTCGCAACTAACAGGTGCAAAGTATTTCTCAGTACTTGACGCCACGAGTGGTTACTGGAGCGTGAAATTGGATGAAACTTCATCATATTACACAACCTTTAACACACCATTTGGTAGGTATCGTTTTAAACGATTACCTTTTGGACTTATATGTTCACAGGACATATTTCAATAGAAACTTGACGAAGCCTTCGAAAGATTACCAGGCGTGACTGGAATCGTTGACGACATTTTGGTATACGGACAGACAAAGGACGAGCATGACTCAAATTTGAGACAGGTCTTGAAACGTGCACAAACATGTGGTGTTAAATTCAATCCTGTGTAATGTGTAAATTGTGTACAAATGTGTAATTGGAGTTACACAAGTATCCTATTTTGGTCATATTCTATCTGAAACTGGTTTGAAGCCCGATCCTCAAAAGATCAGTGCTATCACTGAAATGCAACCGCCCAATAATAAGGCTGAGCTACAAACATACTTAGGAATGTGCACATACATGTCAAAATTTTCATCAAAATTACACAGCCCCTATGCGTGCATTACTTGAGAAAGATGTAGAATTTGAGTCGAAAGATGCACAAAATAAGGCATTTCAGGAAGTCAAAACTATTCTGTCTTCTGCCCCAGTTCTTGCATACTATGATCATACGAAGCCAATTACTATACAATGTGATGCTTCGATGGCTGGGGTAGGTAGTGTTTTGTTCCAGGACGGAAAGCCCGTAGCCTATGCTTCAAAAACCCTGACAAAAGCTGAAATAAACTATAGCCAAATAGAGAAAGAAATGTTAAGTATAGTTTTTTCATGCAAGCGTTTTCATCAGTATATTTACGGTAATAGTAAAGTAATTACTGTAGAATCTGATCACAAGCCTATCTCATCTATCTCATCTATTTGGAAAAAAAGCATTATGCAATGCAAGTCCAAGGTTACAACGAATGTTGTTACAGTTGCACAAAAATAAATGATTTGAATATTATCCATGTCCCAGGCAAAGATATCCCTGTAGGAGACCTCTTGTCTCGAAAAATCTTTTTTGTCCAGCAACATATTCCTGAATTATCAGCAGATCTTGACCTACATATTTCACACAATGTATCCAGCATAGCTGTGAGCGACCAAAAATTAGAACATGTCAAGCAAGCAATTAGCAAAATGATTCACAATGTCATGCTAACAGATACAATTTTTAAGTGGTTGGCCGGAATCTAGAGCAAATTGTCCCGCCAAAATCCTAGATTCTTGGAATCACAGAGATGATTGTCCGTTGGAAAAGACCTAATTTTCAGAGGTCCAGAAATTACTCATACCTCTTTGCACTTAGGCAGGCGAAATGATAAACGGCTGTTCATTGTAGGCCATTATGGGCGTTGATAAATCTTCAACGAGCCCGCTGATATAATGTTTTGGCCCGAAATGAGTTCAAGACATTACCGACTATGTACTGAAATGTTGATATTTGTTTGAAACACAGAAATTCAAACATAAAAGGATCCTTTAAAAAGTCCCCTATCCCCGACAGGACCATGGGCAGGTTAGTGGGCACAGCACGTGTTTCACATGGGAAAAATGATGGACTATTTTAAGTCACAGTTGACTATTTCAGTAGCATACTTTGAAGTTGACCTACTGACTTTTAGCAGCAAAAGTGTTTCTATAATTAAGAAAACTCAAGGTTATTCCTTTTCAAGGTTTATGCATACCTGAAAAGTTGATATCAGACAATGCTCTTATTACGTAAGTGAAACGTTTAAGTCATTTGGGAAGTGAGTGGAATTTTAGTCAGGTGACAAAGCCAGTCCACTTTACAGTCAAGTAAACGGACTTGTAGAGAAAACAGGTCCCAAAACAATAAAACGGGCTATTTAGAAAAGCCAAAGGGACAGTTAAAACAGACCCTTAATGAGTTTTTTAGATACAGAACAACCCCCTTGAAATGGTGGAAAATTCTCCATCACAATTTATTAATGGGCAGACGACTTTACGGAAGTTTTTGCCCCTTTAAACATTTGAACAACTTATGCCACATGAAAATTGACCATAAAGATGTACGTATGAAACTAAAACAGAATAATGTACAAAAAAGAAGTACTTATGACCGACAGTCAAAACCTTTAAAAGTCTTGACGGAACAGGTGACACAGTCAGAGTACAATTTTGACTAAACAATGTAAAAAAGGGGACAGTAGTTGCACAAACAGGCTGACAGCATCATATGTTGTAAGAACTAATGACGGTGGGTATTTACCGCCGAAACAGGAAAATTCTTACATTAAAAACTAAAGATCAGAATGACCCCTGTTTACCCCTTGAAAATCTTCCAGCTGTTAAAATTGATTCGGATAAACTGGTCAATTTTTCCCCACAAGTAACCTCACAAAAATCTGATAAAAGTTTACCAGTAGTAAAAATCAGTTTAATCTCTACACCACAAGGTCAGGAGTCGGCAATGTTATCCCCAAACAAATACCTCAGCAACCCAGTGTGGCCAAGTGAAACTGATCTTATGAGATAAAGTAATTATTTATCAGAAAAATGTAGCTGAGAATTCGGGAAAAATGAAAAGGCATTCGGACAGTATTTAAACTAAACATTGACCGATATTTTATTTTAGACATGTTCATATGTATTTTATTTACATTATTAAAAATGTAGACCCTTATACTTGTTAACATCTTCATAATTATTAATGTATAATGACCTGTCTTCCTTAATAATTCCATTTATTGTTATGATTTATCTAACTTTATAAGTTAAGAAATTTTTAGGCATACATATAATTCAATTATGTTTTAATTACAAAACAATGGAGATGTAGGAATTAGTGTACTTTGTTAATTCATTTATGTTATCGACTATAGCAAGTCTATACTTCCCATGATTCTCTGTAACATGTATTCCCGCCTAAATTGTATGCGCTTACAGCCGCACTTGAATTAGTAAAATTAAACAGTCAAGACACACTTTGTGTTAGTTGTTTATACAATGACTTAGATGTCATTATAATATTATAGACTATTGTCTATACAAAGTACCAAATATTACATTATGGTTATGATGAAATTACATTCAGGTTCAAGAAACATTAAGGAGAAATAACATGATTTATTATTTACGTCAAGAGAAGTATTTTTCATCAAATGTCGAGGAAAATAGTCATGGGTAACATTAATTGATGATATTTCAGTTGCAAGATTTTAATTACTCTTAATGAACCGAGAACTATTAACGTACAGAACACCGTGTGTTAGTGAGTATTTATTTTGACCAGCGTCAGGTCCCCAGTGCAGTGTTGCTCCTACCTCGGTAACTCCGTGGTTACCATTAGCAATTGTATTTCCTTCAAAATATATCATATAATTGCATTATGTATAAACATGTTCCAAACATGTTATGTTTTAAAATAATTTTTTAACATAACGATTAAAAAAGATAAATAATTATAACAGTTATAATAAGGTTTTCAAAATCTTTACTAGCGTAAATTATCAAGATAAACTCTTGTTCTATGATAAGTGACATTACTTTACATAATACAAAAATAAGAAAGTAAGCTTTATATTTATCGCTATGAATAACTCATTTCTATAGAAAAGGGAGAAATAAACCGTTACTAATTTCATATGTTCTTCAATTAATTTACTCGACAAAGCACAACATTATAACTATTGCAGTTTTTTTCCTTACTAACTTAAACGCCAGATGATAGTTGATATAAATAGTCAGAAAATAGCTGCAGAACTATTTGGTTCGGTATGTTTAAATCGATTTAATTCAGGGCTTCAATTTGCATAAATTGACGACGAGAGCAATCATATAATATGACCATACCCCTACTCTCCATGATATCAATTTCTCCTGATCGTGGCCATGCACCGTAATGACTGCTTCTTGGCAACATCCATATAGCTATCGTGTATATAATGAATTTTTATTAATACATTTTTAATTCCATAAGATAATTTTACGTTATCAATTTGTCGTACATATACTCATAAGTTTTGTTTCGTTGAGTTTCTAATAAAACAAATGAAAAACAGAGTTCAACAAGGAAAGGCGACATTCTAACGCAGCCCCATACAAAATACCGTAAGTAACACAGAAACACCGGTATGGAATCCGGAATACAGAAAAGGGCACGTGCACTGATACTGTAAATACTGTAAAGTTCATATACAGACATTTCCAGATTTCTGGTGTAGGACAACACTGGGTTTCCCTTCGTGCATTACTTCAGGCGGATGCCTGAGTGGAGACATCGGCCATCATCAAGATAGATGGTTAGCTTGTTTGTATGATTATATTGACAGTTTAAATACATGTATAATAATAGTTTATAAATCAGAAGAAATGTATTCAATATATGAACAAAATGTTTTAAATTTTTAACGGAGTAAAATATTATATTCAAAATTTTATAGTTGATTATTACAGACATAAACTAAACGTATACATTTTAGAATTTTCTTATTTGCTTCCTTCTACTGATCATTATGGAATGAAAATAATAACTATAAAAAAAAGGACACAACAGCGGATGAATATAATTAAACAATTGCGTATAATACCTGGCCATATCCAATCCCCTCTCGGGATTCTTGCCATGACCTCGACAACACCAAATCTGATGTTTGCTTTTGACTGTATTTTTCCGGACATGACAGGAGGCAAAATGCCATCTCTACCGTTTCTGTAGCAACCATAGCGGTCAGCATTTGTACAATATCCATACATTTCTTTACAATAAAGTACAGACATGTCACTTTGTATAAACACTGCTTAGCAAATATGCGAAATGTAAATTAAACACATCTTTAATTAGGTAAACATATTCAAGCTGCATCTTTCTCTGATACAAGTTTATTCGGAGTATTCAAGTAAGGTGGCCTTAAGATCTGCGGTTCTTGAATAATCAGCTTAATTTGTTATCATGAAAAGGGCAAAACGCCCATTCATAAGTTAAATGATATCTTATCTGAGGTGATATTGACACTACATATACATATAATATTGTTTGGTTTTGATACTAACGTTTCAAGTCCATAACCCCAGTGTGTAATAATGCTTCGTTATAGTTTGGGTGGTCCGTGGTAAGAGTCTGAAAATGTCATGTTATTTATTGTTACGTGATCTTAAACACAATTATTCTTTTGAGCTTAATAAGCATCTTAGAAAAAACATCGCAGGGGTAAGGAAGGTTAAAAAAGACAGGGATTGAAACATTATTAAACTTAATTTATCTGAAATACAAAGTGAAAGTGTCAGTCTATAAAAATGATAACATTTTTTTTTATTAAATAAACGTGTATAATTATATTCAAATATACTAGTACAACTTTCATTTCTCTGAGGATTATTTTACCATTATTTTAATTTGATAAGATCTATACAGAAAATGAATTTTAGTATAAAATATTGATGAATTTTCATACACTTTTACAACTATAAAACTAACTTACTGGCTTTATAAAAAGATGGCCGTTCCTTGTGAATACGTTTCTTGTATCCGGAACATATGCTTGCACTTCCCAGTTCTGAAAAAAGAAGAAATGTTTTCATTTTCATAATAATCTATGTCGATAAATAACATCAGTATTAAATGTTAAAATATGCTATATTATCAATAATGTTGTTTATTTGTTGTTGTTTTTTGCTTTTGTTTTTTTGTGTGTGTGTGTGTGTGTTTTTTTTTTTTGCATAAAGAATTGAACATTAGAAGGTGAATGATGTAATTATTATTTACTAATAGATGAAATGATAACAATGCTGTGGTTTTAGTCAAAATTATTTGCTTACATAACCTCCGTACATGGAAACTTCAAAGTCCCAATTGCCTGTATTTAAAGGTCCATCGAAATCGTCACGGAGAACACGGGTACATGACCTTTCAACTCGGCTTGGTGGAGAAATAACTAAACCGGATTCCTCTAAAATGTAAAAATATACGAGGGGTGTTTTGAAATAAAAGCAAATTCAATTAAATTCTAAAAGACTCATAAAGTGTGAATTATATATTTCTGAATAAATGAATGAATATGCTAAATCTCTCGAAAGCTCTCGATATAAGTCGGCTCGGGGGATGTCCAGTATCCTGGCGGTATACCATGTAAAGACGAAAAAAGTTCTTTTACAATGAATTTAAAGAATTACATTGTGTATACTAGCAAAACGAGAGTAGGTTTTTCTGAATAAAGTAAGTGTATATTCTAAAATTTAAGTAAAAAAATGGTTTACAGGGTAAGTTATATTGATGCTCAAAAACCTCTCGTATGCCATTTCTAAGAAATATATTTCATTGCTAAAACGGAATCACATTATCTTTACTCAACTGATATAAGGTATCAACTCCTCAGTTAACTTCTATTTCTTTTTTATATATGTTTATTTGCTTACCTGCTCAATTTATGTAACGAATTTGTGTAATGTTGAATTTGGAACAGTCAATTTAAAGTTTAAAGCATTTAAATATCAAAATTAAAAGACAGGGCTACCAATAGTACAGATCCTGGTAAGACAAAAAGGATGACCAATCACTTTCATTTTCAACAAATTAATAGTTAAATGGTGTTGAGTTTGTGACATTTGTTTGTACTCCTGGTTCTTTTTTAAATAATGTTTTGATCTGATTCCAATCTTATTTCATTTCTAGAGCTTATATCTACTTAAAACGTATTTGTTTTTAATCTGAATCACTGTTTAGATGGAAATTGGAGGAAAACTAATCTGTTTCACGATGAAACGGTCCATTCGCGAACTGGGAAATGCCGCCACAGCTACATTTCAAACACAAATATAACAACTTTACGTTTTCTGGAAACATTAAACAAATCTACATGGCATAGCATTCACCGAATTTCGATATTTGGTGCAGAGTTTACAAAATATTTGAAAAATGAAACCACTTGACACTTGAGTTTAGCGACATGCACTAGCTCGGAAGTAGCGATAGAGCGATTTACCGTATACCTCCGAAAGAGGTAGCTCAATCGTTGACCAGGCGTGACAATGTCTAAATCGTAACTACACGACGTGACCTCATGATAAAAATATCTTTTAAGTTTGTACAAAACTTGACCTACACCACTGATTGAGTGGATTTTTATATAATTGATAAGATAAAGATACAGCTAGGATTAAAATTTGTATAAAATATTATTTTTTCTACATATAAACCTGGTTGTAAGTTTCCTTTGGATACAACAGTTTTGCCCTCAATTTCCCAAACGATGGTATATTCAATTTTGCTTTGACCGTCGAATGCTGCATTATGGTTGCGATGATACCAGCGTCCGTCGGCTGAATTAGAGACAAAATCAACATGAATTCGTCGGACTTAACAATACGAGATTTAATAAAACGTACCAAAATTAACATCATGAGAACATAACAAGGAATAACTGGCTAAAATCATGTATTATACTTACATTTATTATATTTTAGTTATCGACAAACGTCAATGATTATTATAGTTAAACATACACATTAGAATTAATTTCTACTCATTTTTTATTCAAGGTTAACAATATCTTATAAAATTATTGGGAATGAACTTGATACATATATTTGATCAACCTTCAGTCGTAGGCTTCATTTTCTTAAACATGTTAAATAACATCATTGTCAAAAAAAAAAAAAAAAAAATAAGTACTAGCTATACAAATTTAACATACCTCCTTGATGAAAAGGTCCTTGGTGCGTTCTGCCCTTGATAGTGTACATTACGTCATACACCTTCATTCCCGGAGCTCCTATATATAAGTACATCATTTAGGGGGCATATTATCAATTCAAATGCTTGGATTTTAGTCAAAAACAAATTAAAGTACTTTAAAATTCCACAGAAAGTCAAGCATCATCTTATATGACATTGTCGGTACTTAACATTCACAGGCAAAAATAAATAATGTCAAAATACATCAACAATGGCAATCGCATTAACATTTTAATTAAATGCACATTTTGAATATTTTCACAAATACAAAAGATACGATCAGCTATAGACATCAAAGTAGCCTTAAGCGTCTTTAATTTTAAAGAAATTATTTAAACTGTTTTTTCAAGCCTGAAAGTGAATTGGTAAGAACTTTCACTTTCAAAATGAAAAGCAGATATGAGATAAATAAAAGAAGATTTAAAAAAAAACAATAGATTTTTTTTTAAATTACCTACCATCTACTGAAATCTCCACATCTCCAGAAGCAAGATGCGCTAGTTTTGGGCGAGGAACATTCGCGGGAAATACCGACACTATTAGGCAAAGGAAGCACGTGATAATCATGACCCAAGTTTTTGTCGCTGCGTTTGCAGACGGTTTGTAATTAACGTACAAGAGAATGGAGTTTTATATGAAAAATCTTATCAGTGAAATTGATAGCGTGCCTTTTATGTCAGAATTGAGGATATAGTCCCTGCTATAAAGAACATTTATACAAACTTTGCACCAATTATAGTTTGACCTCAAATTTCATAAAATTTTGCACATCTAGCTTAAAATTTAAACACTTGTCTAGTATTCTAGAGTAGTTGTTTTTGTTGTTGTTGTTGTTTTTTAATTCTTTTTTTTTTTTTGGGGGTAGTATTTATTTATTTATTTATTTATTTATTTATTATTTCAGAAATATTAATATGGACGATACAAACTGCTATTAAGTTGCTATACATGTATAATGTATACACACCTAAACGATAATAGTTTCATCAAATTTATTCAAGTTATATTATATATAAGTTCGTTTTTGAAACAAACTAAGAACAATCAGCCAACGTTAATTTACCGTTTCTCGTTTCTGGTTATTTCTCATACCTGCGAGATGACGCTGCTCATTATTTTGCAAACATTTCTTGAAGTACAGCAGTACACTCACTTTTAACTCTTTTTTTTTCGCTCGACTGCAAAACAAGTAATCGCAACTTATATTAATCTGTTTTAAATCCGCTTCCTGGTACTGACCATTACTGGTCGGGAATTATCTGTGTGACATATAACTAAGTGTTCAAAACATCTACACAAAGTCGATGTGCTTTAAATATATGCCTTAAAGGACATTTTCGGATAAGTCAAACGTCAAATATGCTTCGCAAAGTCTTTATTGTGCTAATATTTCAAGTCAAACATTTTTGTTTTGTTTGTTCACTTTGGCAAGAACTTATAAAGTTTTTTTATTTTTTTTATTTTTTGCAATAAGTCCATTATAAAACATTTCCTACTGTAAAATCATTATTATTCGTTGGGCACGAACTTTCGTGGTTTTCGTGGGAAGGTCAATCCACGAATTTAAGATCCGACGAAATTTTATCCTAACAAATATTTCTTGCCATGTCTCTATTCTATATGTTACAAACATGCATCAGCGCTTTTCCGCCGATTTGTGTGTAATGAATGCCCAGAGGCAAGGGTTAAATTTTTTGACATGTAAAGATATGGACATGCGGTAAGTAAAATGCGCGGCGATTATGTTTAAGATTACTTTGCATTAGGTTATATTTTTTTTTACAAGAAATTGAAAATCCACGAATTTAAGAACCCACGAAAATGCCCGTTTTGATAAAACCACGAAATTTCATGCCCACGAATATAAGTGAATTCGCAGTATTTGGCCAAGTTTTAGAAATAAAAAATATATTTACGATCTATTTGTTTGCGTTGTTTTACTTCCTTTTAAAAGTGATTCAAATGTTAATTTTAACAATATCAAACACAAAGCAATCAATTGAACCTTGTTAATTTTACTTGTTTAACCTACTTTTCTTTATCGGTATTATCAGAGGTTGATGACCTTGTCGATTTGCTGTTTAGATAATTCAATGAACATATCAATCGACATAAACTAGTTTCTTGTATGTAGGTTTGCAATACGTGAGGCTAATTTGTCACCGAAATTGAAACCAGGAAAATATTTAGTTGTTTGAAGTATAACCTAAACAATAAGCACGCACGCACTCACGCACGCACACTTCAACCCACCCCTACACACCCACACATATATGTTATATTTGAGTTTATCGTATTGCGATAATTATCTCCGTTACTAAGAACAAGATTATTATTTATTATATATTATAAGCATTATTACATTTCAAAGCGTTTCATGCCAAGCTGATTGCCGCATTGATTTGACCAAAAAAATTTTATTCTTGTAATTCATGCTTAATACAATATCAATATGTTAAAAAGCTGAAGAAAAGAATGATAAAAATTTATTAATTCTTTGCTACATTGTCACAAACAAGGCATGCAACACCCAGCTCTCGGTGTCAAAATTCTGTATTGGATTGGAACAATGTTATAGGCTCTGTTTGATAAGCTTGTTCATGGCCGCACCCCTAAGCATGAGCTAAAGTAGAATTAAGCATTGAATTTCATAAAATAGTAATAGTTTATATAAAGAAACATCCTCAGATGTTTTTTTTATCTTACTTTAATGTTGACACTTTAATGTCATTCCTTGACTATCATGTGAAAACCCATTTTGAGTTCCTTAAACAGACAGCGGACATACAGGTGCCACTTCCGTGGCCTTTAATGGCTTTTACACATTATTCCTGTCGTTAGAAGAAAGTTTTTGTTTATTTTAGTTAATATGAATGTGAAAAAACTATTAACTTAGGTGCATTAGATGTGTTAGTTTATGCAAGAGTATCCTTGTGAGATGTTTTATCAACGTTATGTACATAAGTATACATGTTCATACTGCTGATAACATCCAATTATACATGTAGATTATTGCATTAAAAGCTAGTGAAATGTGTTACTAGCTGATTATATGTTATCTTGTACAAAAGTTTGTGCAGAAATTATTTAACTGTTCGTCTTCCTTTTACTGGCATTTGAAATAAATATTCATAGACGTTATGGGAGGAGCTACCTCAAAGGACCTAAAGGTAAATCAATTATTTATTGTCGATCATCTATAAAAGTAATAGATGTCCAAGAGAATGTCTTAAGATGCTTTTTGTATTCTTAATAATTATTTTGTCAAGTTCTTGCTTGCGTGAAATGGTATCTGAAAAGGGGGCTGCATATCATTTATCATAGTAAAATAAGACAGCTTAACACTATTGATAGCTTTCAATTTCAGAAGGTTGGTGTCGAATTGAATAATCTTAAGGAGAAGTATGAAATGCAGAAACAATTTATATTAACTGCAACAACCACCAAAAAGTCAATTGAAGCTTGTATGGAGAAATAAGAAACAACCATGTTATGAGATTGATATTTGGGCTTTATTAAGCCATAAGTATAACATGAACAAGAATGAGGTAATTTTTCGAAATATCTGGCAGGGAAAAACCGCCAGCACCAAATAACAACTAGAAAATAGAAATATCATGATAAATCAATATTAACAATCGGTATATGACTAGAAAGAAAAATAAGCATGAAGTTACAAAACCATTTATTTGCAAGACTGTAATGGAAATTTATAATTGTGGTGGGAGGGTGGGAAAAGCAAATGCGAGTTTCTTTGTTCACTGAGGTACGCGAAGTGACGTAGGCTAATTATAAATGCACCGTTTATTTGTCGGTAACGAAACTTCGGTATGCGGACCTCTATCTGCAGTGCATAAGATATATGCGGATTTACAGAAAAGTAAAGTGAATGATATTAAGAATTATGTTGTCTTGCATATAAATAATTTTATGACACATAAAATACATTTATATTAACTGCAACAACCACCAAAAACTCAATTGAAGCTTGTATGGAGAAATAAGAAACAACCATGTTATGAGATTGATATTTGGGCTTTTAAACAATATATATCGGAATATTCATCAAAGGTCGACAACAATTTGGAATTGCTAAAGAAACGAACGGAGGATTTTGACAACAGGGCGAACAAACTGCTTGATCTTTTTGAAGCGAAATCATTAGATATCAAATGTTTGGAAGATAGTATGGCTCAACAGAAAAATTTTAGCCAGGCAAGGTTTATCGAATTGGAACAGGAAATCCAATTGTGGAATAGAAAAGTTGACACGACCATGGCTCAAACGGAAATGTTACTCACAGTCTCACAAGATAGAGAAAGGCACATGGAGAAATTAGAAAAGCTTACAACGTAAGATATTCAATTGATTACAACTCTAATTTACATTTACCAGACTTAAAGCTGTTTGTTCTAAATTTAAATACTGATAGCTGGTTTTATTTTATTTTGTTTTAAAGTTAAATATACTCGTATTAAAAAAACTAGACTTAAACACAATGTCATACTTTGTACCTTAAATGGATGTATTTCATTTTTATATAATTATTTTCGAAAAATGTAAAGACATTTTTAGTATTTTTAAATGAATACTTGAAGGTTATTTGAGCTTCCAAAATAAATCGAGTACATCTAGTCAATCCAGGAACATATCTTGTTTCTAGTTTTTTTTTTAATTTATGACATAATGGAATGGATATATCGTCAAGTTAATTCTTTTTTTTTACAAAGCAAGCTAGTCTATACACAGGCGACTAATGCAGGGGTAGATATAAACGGTAAGTGTCACAGTGATTTTCGTCATATTCTTTTCAAAAACTTTCATTTTGTACAATGTGCCCATACGGTTGTGCCATATTAAGGTACTGCGAAAAATAGCGCATTCTTAGCTGAATTATACTCCATTCTTTGGGTCACTAGGAGTATCTATTTTGTGAAAAAAAAACTGTTAAAATTCATGAGATAATTTTTTTTGTACCGAATACTCATTGCATATCAAGTGCATGATTGGGCTTAGTAAGATTAGGCTTTCGTTTTTACATAAATAGAAATATTGAAAATTATGTATTGTGATGTATTTTTATATTGGTATATTCTTATTTTTTTAAAAAAAATATGCTTACAGAAGAGCCCATCAGAGAATAAGAGCCCAAGAGTATGCAGTAACCTGTGACAATCAAAGCAGCAACTCATTTACTGAGGTTTTAAATATACGCGCAAGTCAAACTTGCCCAAATTGTTATGAAGAACATAAATATTTTGGTGTGAAAACTAAATTTATAAAAAATTAATAACAGATGTTTATTTTTTTTGTTATAACCTTGATATCAATAATATATAAATCATAAATACATAAAAAATCATTTCAGTTTAACGCATGCACGCACGCATGCACGCACACATACATACATACGCACATACATGCACAGCTGTGAGTTTGAATCCCGACAGGGTCTTTAGATTCTTTTTAACTAGCTAACTTACGGAACGTCAGTGGTTCTATTCAGGTGCCAGATCGAGCATGAAAGAATGCACGGTAGTGCACCTGAGGTCTTCCCTCACAAGTCAAGCTTGA